AAAAGAACTAGGGACCCAGTCGAACTCCTCGCTTGCTAAAATGGAAAAGCTATTTTTCGGGACTTTTGTGCTTAGAATTTGTCCATAAATATCTTTTGTAGTAATCAAAGAAGTTTAGGATAATCCAAAAATAAATAAATATGCCGTAGCTTGCAGTTCTTCATTCTTATCAGCTTGATACTAGTCTTTGTAAGGGGTTTGACATCTTGATATAAATATAGTAATAAGTCAAAGTGGTGGGAAATAGGTTAAGATAATTCAACAACAAACAGTTGTATGGTGCAATTGAATGAAGATTTATTGGCTATCCTCTTGTATCTGTGAGCTTGACCATTGTTCTTAGCTTTTTTTCCCCTTTAGGTGTTCTGTTTACACTTGTCATGGTGGTTTCTTGAATGCACAATAATTTGACCCCAACTCTTGTCATTAATGCAGCTGTTTCAAATTGTAACCATGGTTTGTTACCATCACAGGAAGATTCCAAGGATGGGTAAGGAACCTTCATATAACCGGTCAGATGCTGTTACTGGTCTTAAGACAGCCAACATTATCACCATCCCTGCAAACATGATTAGCAAAAGCAATACGCCTTCTGCTATCACTCATCTGACCTCTTTCTTGTCTACGTTATTTTCTTTTCTTTTCTACAGTTCAAAAAGTGCACCTACTAATTTGAATCAGCTGACAAGATTTTGGAAGGATATGAAGGTGCTTCATCTGGAAAAGGTTTATCTCGTCAATGTCTTAGGTATTTTATTAACTTGCCTTACCTCCAACTATCTCATGCTACGTCTTCTTTGGATGCTGATATTGGAACAAGTTGACGCACATTTTTTGAACGTCTTTACTTCTTTTCTTAAAATAAAAAGATCTCATCTATGCATAAACTTGTTATGCATTGTTGAAATGGTAGGTTTCTACACACTGATTCTCAACTTGAGTGGTTTCTTGCAGGATACATCGCATATAATTTTGTAATTGGTGCGTATTCCTATTGGGGACCAAAGGCTGGTTATAACATATACCATATGGTAAGCTCTTGGAGCCACTATTCCACTTCACAATAAGTTTATATTTGCATGATTCTATTGATTGTTGTCTTTCTCTGACCCTTGGTTTCACATTTGGAAGTTACTGTATACAAGTGAAATGAGCTTGATTTGACATGCCCCATCCACTTACAATTTTTTCGTTTGTGGACCAATCAAATATCGCAAAAGCATTAAGTTCATGTTAGCTGATTTGCAATTGTTGTCTCCACAGAAAAATGCAGACATGACGTTTGGAGGTATTACTATAGTATGTGGAATATTGGGAACCTTGGCTGGAGGCCTTGTTTTGGATCGAATGAATTCCACAATATCCAATGCCTTTAAGGTGCGTACTTTTGCATTCCTAAGATTCTGTTTAATCTCTAGAAGCATTTCTCATTTAATCTAGTGTCTAATGTGAATATCATTCTTTGTTAATTGTAAAACAAAGAAGACTTTCTCAGTCAGGGGATAAAGAGTGCCCCAGAAGAACTTATTCTTTTGGCTTTTACAACTCTTTCTCCTTGCGTTAATTTACTCAATTCTGCTGTTTTTTAGAAGGATAACCTATGAAGCTCAATTTTGATGTTAATCACACCTATCTTCTCTTCTCTTATTTGTATCTGAATCTTTCAAAACCCTGCTGCTAATGATGTCACTATTATGTACTGCAGCTTCTCTCAGTGGCAACATTTCTTGGAGCAATATTTTGCTTTGCTGCCTTTTGTTTTAAGAACTTGTATGTTTTCATCGCTCTTTTTGCGATAGGAGAACTGCTTGTATTTGCAACACAGGTAATTCTATCATCTAATAAGTATTCTATGTAAAATAGGTTGTTTCTTTGTACAATAGCTCAATGTGGAGTATTACACTAGGGAATGCTTTCTGCAAAATGATTCTTTCCCTACTTTCCTAGTTCCTTTGTATTATTCATATAGGTGATCAAGTGTGTCATTTTCTTTGAGGCAGAAAACGTTATTTAATTACTAAAATTGCCTGGATGGCTGATCTTATTGCCCATGCATCCTTTTCTCTTTCTTCTGAAATTCTGCAAAGAGTAATCGGTCTTTTATTTAGTTACCTGAAACATCTCATTGATTTACGATGATGCTTAAATAGTTGTATTTAAGGTTGGAATTGTTGTATTGAGTGCTTTATTTCATCTTACAGTAAAGCCTCTGACTGCAGGGCCCTGTAAATTATGTCTGTCTCCATTGCGTCAAACCAAGTCTTAGACCACTGTCTATGGCGATGTCTACTGTTTCAATTCACATATTTGGTGATGTACCTTCCTCTCCTCTAGTGGGGGTCGTCCAGGTTTGTGCTTGCTCATTCAAAATGTTGATCTTGTTTTATAACTTGTCTTTCCTTCTTTTCGGAGTTCTTTTTTCCAAAAGATAAACACACACACACACACACACACACACAGTACATTGAGAGTTTTCTAGTATATTTTGTCCTCAGGTAGTCTTGAACAAAACACTTCATTAGAAACGAGGGAGGGAAATCAAAATACACGGCCTAAAAAATATTAAGTTCGCTTTCCCTATGTGCTAATGTTAGGAATTACGGCCTATCATAACATCATTATGTTTCCCTTTAGAAAGGACACTTAAATGGGTTGGGTGCACATGCTTGTTCAATCACATCATAACTCATATGTAGAGCGACATTCAAAGCAAATTGAACCTTCCAAGCTTGCTCTTTTAGCAACCCTTCTATATTTTTTGCATGAATGCTCCATATTTGGCATCTCTAGTTGCCTCTCAATATGGATCGCCCGAACTTAGAATCAGCTTAGCACTTGAGATATATTTGTGTCATTTGACTCATTGCAAAATCATTGACACATGAACACAGAAGTCATTATAGAAGGATTAGTTCCGGTGGTGAAATGTACTATCTATATGAGAATTTACTTTCTTTGCCTCCTCTCATAGTAATAAATAAAATAACTTACAATCTGCAATATTAGTTCTGATAAAAGGGAAACCTGTTGTAGTCCCCAGGACTTCAGTTTAGTGGTAAGAGTGCAGCACGTGATGTGTGGGTTAAACGCACATCATGGGTTTGAATCCTGCCGCAAACAAAAGCCTGGTATTTAAGTGGAGAAGGGTATGGGGCCCTCGTGGATTTCTCAGTTATAGAAAAAGGGAAATATGCTGAGTGAGAGCAGGATGATTCTCTTTCTCCTTCAATAGTCTTTTTCTCTCTTTAGTCATGAAAATGGAAGTACAAGCTGCTTTTATTTAAATCTATTGTTTAACATGGTACATGAAAGACATGACAAGCCCCTAGGCTGGCTTCCAAGAACTAGCCTAACCGTTAAATTTAATATTGGACAAGTCAATTATGGTGAAGCAGTAGTAAAAGTTTTTTTTTTTAAATTGTTAGCAGTAGTGAAGTTATGTTGTAACAACTTTATAGTTGATGTTATGGTTCTTGATAACATTGATCAATATTCTTCTACATTTCTCTTTTACAGGACCGCATTGACAATTGGAGAGTAACTGCTTTGATCTTGACATCAATTCTATTTATAGCCGCTGGAATATGGTTTATAGGTATAGTACACTCTGTTAGAACGCCTCAACTCCAAATCTTTATCCTTTAAATGAGGCCTACTTGATGTCACATTGGCAATAGATTTTGGGTTTTTATTGATGAATTATTTTAATGTATTTGTATGTGTAGGCATCTTTCTTCATAGCGTAGATAGATTTGATGAAGATAGTGAGGATCAAGTAAGTGATGCTGAGAGAGCAAACTCACCACCGTTGCTTGAGAAGAAAAGTACTGAACCGATTGAGGTCTCTGTCGAATCCTAATATTTCGTTGTGTAGCTGCCACAAATGAAATGTAAATTCGTTGGTTCTTTTTCTTGATAATTTGTTTTTGGTCAGCTTTCACTTACCTTGACCATTCCTTCTGAGTACCTGTTACCTCCCACCAACACAGTCTGCCCAAAGGCTTAATGTAAATTCTTTATTCTTTTCTGTGTAAATAATGTTGCACTCCATAAAGAGAAGTGGTTGAATTGTTCATATTGATATCATCAAAAGTAGCTACAACATTGAGTTTTGGCTTACCATTCGACGACATTATTTTATATTATTTTCTGTAGTTATAATCTTGCTTTGTTTTTGTCCTTTCGGAAAAGCTTTTATTTTGCATGTTTTCACAATGCAACTATTCATATGAACTAAATAACTTTGCAAGTGACAGAGGAGTAAGATTATTTTTGATCCATTTTGTTCTATTCAGGTCCTAAATCAAAAGATTATTTAAAATATCACAATTATCCCCACGTAAATATACAAGTTTTAACCACAATAGAACCACTTCACAAATATTACACTTAATGCAAGTCTAACAACAATTAAGTCTTTAATCTCAGTTGTTGATACTGCCTACATTGATTATTTGCTTCCATGGTCTGTTGTTCACTACATTGATTCAAAGAGATTTGAAGATAATTTTCTTCCACATGATTTTAGGACTACCCATCTATCATCATATTGTGGCACATACAGTATTACCCGACATGTATAAATTTGTCTAGGGCTTGCAATGATAACATGTTTCTATTTTGCAAAGATGGTTTTACAAGGAGAAATAAAAAAGTTTGGAATGATCGTACTTGATGATTATATTACCCCATTTACTAAAATACATTTAAATAACTACTAGTGTTCAATATAATGCACACTTCCGAAATTTCTCTGGTTGAAAAGAAACGCTTCTAAATTTGGTCTTTAGATGACATTGCTACATAGAATTTTCATTACCTATTAAGATAATTGATATATGTAGTATCAAGAACCTACAGAACACTTCAATGGTTAAGAATGGCTTAGCCAAACTAATGGAAACAATAGGTCTAGAATCACGTGAGACATTGAAGCTTTGTTAATTACTTAAAGATAAACCCATTTTTACCTGTCCTTTCAAAAAAATTAGCTGGCGGAATTGGAGAATGAAGATCAATTCATTTATCAGTAGTCAGTACACCTGTTTTCATCCTGGATAAAATTTAAAAACACTACAGCCTGAATAAAATTATGGATGATGATGTAGAAAAACAGTAACATTTTTAACAAAAAAACCGTCTTAAGAATATGAATTGACTTCCACCTCAGAAGCAAAGAGCATAATCCTGGGGCGATTTTCCACGTCCAGTTTAGGTTACAAGCAGGAAAACTAGCTGGCTCAAGCTCTATCAATTGGCATCTATACAAGTGAAAGCTCACCAGCAGGGATAGATCTCTTGACAAGCTTTGCCCAAGATTCATTGGTTTCCGTAATAACCTTAAGAGCGTAATCCTGGCAGTGCAAGGTAAAGAGATCATTAGCAGGAGCAAGTGAAAACTGGCACAAAACCTCTTTATCCGACAGGAGGGAACATGGAGAGGTGTTAGCACGAGTTCTAATTACTAATATAATTATTATACTTATGTCATTGTGTGCTGCACTGAATCAAAAGCAACTGCAAGATCTTGCAGTTATTTTGATGAAGTAAGAGATATTATAAAAAGCATCAAGAAAATGCAAAAGAGCACTGTCCAGGTGCTAATACAAAAGAAGATATGTAAGCTCTGTACAGATTCGGGGGAGCTAATAGGGGAGAGGTTACTCCAGCTATATAACAAAACTATACAATTATACAAAACTATACGGGAGGGTGGAAAGATTTCATCTTCAACTAAAATAACATGATGGGCATGCAAAACAAGCAACTGCCAATTTTCGAAGCAGTACTATCATGTCTATTTGAAAATTTAAGTTAGGTCTGTTTGAAAGTATCATGTTTCAAGAAACGAAGGGGAAATAGAAACAAGGATCTTCAAAGATACCACATTTACCAAAACATGTATGAAAACATTTACCTTGTTTGCTGGCTTGTTGCCAAGAGCAAACCTATTGGCAGGTTTTCCATCAGGTATCTTATAGTCTCTAAACCAGTCCCTGATTGCTGTGAGAGTGCCCTGGAAAATTCACAGAATTAGTTTGATCAATGTTGACAATGACCTAAAGGAGGGAATGACTTTTATCATGCAATGTGACATCAAAGGTAACAAAATACTAAAAGGAACACAGGAACCAGCACTTCTTATACAAGTGCTTTTGTCTCCACGAAACAAGTTATATCAATGTTACTATTTGGTTATAGGAAACAAAAGGAACATTCACATAAATTTAGAATTTTGCATGCCTCTGCTATCTCTTATTCAGTGGGACTAACTGTTGATAATGAAGCCATATCCTATAACTGCCACTCCATGGGATCTTTGTGTATGCCCTTATTTCTCCAGTTATCATCACAACTTAAATGCGTTGCCGTGACTTTGCATAGATAGCCTTGAATACTGCTAAATTTATTTAAAGTCTCTCATTCCAACAAAGTATGCAGCTAATATATAAAATCATCAAGATCACTCAATTTTATGCATATATTCGTTTCATTATTTCTATCGCTGTTCCCAAGCGATGATCACTGGTCAACACTTCACTTAAATTAGACATAAAAACAATAAAACAGTGCAAAACAAGTCTGAGGTAAGCACATGAAAATTGAAAAGGAGATTCCAAGACAAATATGTTTAACTGAAGAGACATATTGCAGCACAATAAAAAAGAAGAAAGAGAGTGATGCATAAAAGTGTTGCACAAGCATAAGCAGTTGAACAAAAAAAGCATAATCAGTGGGAGAGAAAGGAGAGTCAACAAGAGATAGCAGCTTTATTGCCCTTCAAACATACCGGAAAATGTTTCTCTACATCATCAACATCATTAACAAGTGAAGCTCTTGGATCATCTAGTGAAATAGCAACTATTTTCCAGTCAAGTTCTCCTTCATCAATCATTGCCAGAGCAGCTAAAGGTTTGACCTTCAGAACCTGGCCAATTTTGCCACGGCTGTCTCCAATCTCAACAACATCAACTACAAATGGAAAGACCATAAGAGAGATTCAACCAGTTATGACAATCTCTAACACCATTCTTTTGTCTATTCTCTTTAATATTGTAGATGGACCAGAAGAAAGTTGTTAACTATCTAAAATTATAGAACCATACCAGGGTCATTATCTCCAAATGCCCCCTCAACTTCAGAGTTTGCAAAAGAGGGATCTTCCCATGTTTGAGGAAGCAATCCATAGTTCCAGTGAATGTTATACCTGAGAATTGCACAAGAAGTGCATAAGAATTAAGATCAAACTCAAAAACTGTAGACATCAGAAAATGACAATTTCTCGCAGCTATGATGACACTACATCAGCAAGGAACATGTCTTATGAGTTGAAGATTGTGGAATCATTGTGTCCAACGACACTAAACATGAAACTCTAGGTAACAGACCAAAACCTAAGACCGACCCACATCGGTTAACTCATAAAGAGGGTCACTTCCGAGTATCATAGGTCAAAATCCTTCCCTCCCCACCCTTTTTTTTTCTTTTTTGATGACTGAGAAATCTGTTTGGGGCTGCCTGCAGCCTTCGAAACATGGGGATAATGGGCCCTCTATCCCTCTCCACTTAAAACCAGCCTTTGTTTGCATGACGCAGGGCTGAACCTGTGACCTAAATCCTTCCCTCCCCACAACCCTCCTTATTTTTTTGATGACGAGAAATCTGTCCCGGGCTGACCCTTAAGACGTTAGAAACCTTCCAAACTCGGGGATAATGGGACCACCTCCCTCCCTTCCTATCCCGCTACAAGGGAAGCTGGTAGGAACCAGCAAGATAGTTACATCTCAAGATATATTATACTAAAAGAATGTGCAAAAGTGACAAAATAGGCTTACGGATAGTATCGAAGTTTTCCCTTCTTTGTGTCTTGTTTAATAGGAGTGTGTTGCTCATCTGTAGCAACTTCCATTTTTGCACTTGATTCTTTGGGGATTTCAACAACAAAATTGAAAACACCATCACCCAAATGTAGCGGAATGTCATGCCAGGGGGATATCTGCACATTGTATAGACATGATCCAATCAAACTGTAACTATTTTCTCTAGATAGACTAAAAGCTACAATTTTTACCAAGTAAACATTAACAAAATAGAAATAGGTTCACGTTGGATTAAAATTCAAGAAATATAGCAGTATAAAATAAAAGTGTGACCTTTTTGCCGGAATTGTCCTCTAGAAAGACACGGTAATCTAGGGTTTCGGGGTGTCCTTCTTCTTTGGTCTGAAGTTGGGGATTGTAGATAGCGCTGCAAGTGAAAAGACGCCTCTTTTGCACAGGTCCGTTTCTGCAGCAAAGACTGAAACTATTGGGCCTTCGTAATGGACCTTTCGACAGAAGCGAAGCTGTTACAGTGTTGCTGGCTGAAACCATCACTCTTGCCGCCGCCATTGCTGCTTTTTGCTGGCGAGTGTTTAAGTCCCAAAGGCAAGAGAAATTGGAGAAGCTGGATGAACTTCAGTGATTGCTGCTATCACTGCTTAACTTCAGCCACATATACAAATGGTGAGATATGATTGGTTAACTGGAATATTCGTTTTTATTTCTTATTTTTCTAAGTGCTCCCACTTTTGTTATCTACGTTTTACTAGTTGGGTCGTTTGGTTGCAAAAACGTTATTCCACCATTAATTATTTTAGTATTAATTATCTTTAGATTAGTTATTCCACCTTTTCATGAGGATAACTAATTTAGGAATTAATTATACCGTAATTTTTTCCCAATCAAATATGGGATAAACTCTTCTTAAATTTAGTCTCGTAATTAATTATTCCTTATCCCTCGTACCAAACGAGCCCTTATTTCTTGTCTTGTTTTTGCCCATCATTTTTTGTCTTGTTTTTTATGCCCTCTATTGTCCTATTGTATTTTTAAAAATTCTCTTTTAATTCTACAACAACAACAACAACCCAATATAATCCCACAAGTGGGGTTTGGGGAGGGTAATATGTATGCACATCTTACCTCTACCCCGAGGGGCAGAGAGGTTGTTTCCAGGAGACCCTCGGCTCAAGAAAGCAACAAGAGACGTTATATTAGTACTATCAATAGACTCATAATAAAATAACATAAAATAACATAAAATCCATAACATAACATAAAATACCATAAAATAACAGCAATATAAGAAATATAGGAAATATGAGAAAGATGTAAAGTATACTAATAACCAACAGATAAAGCCCATCATCACTAGCTGATCAGTAGCATCCTAAGACTAACTCCTAACTGGCTAGTCTCACTCTAGTGCGCTGTAGAAATATTCACAATTTCTCCCTAACCTACAACCTTAATACTCGACCTCCACAATTCCCTGTTAAGGGTCATGTCCTCAGTAACCCTAAGTCGTGTCATGTCCTGCCTGATCACCTCTCCCCAATACTTCTTAGGTCTCCCTCTACCTCTCTTCGTACCCACCACAGCCAATCACTCACACCTCCTCACCGGTGCATCAGTGTTCCTCCTCTGAATGTGTCTGAACCATCTGAGTCTTGTTTCCCGCATCTTGTCCTCCATGGGGGCCACACCCACCTTCTCTCGAATATCTTCATTCCTAATCTTATCCCTCCTTGTATGCCCGCATATCCACCTCAACATCCTCATCTCTGTGACTTTCATCTTCTGGATGTGTGAGTTCTTAACCGGGCAACACTCGGCCTCATACAACATGGCAGGCCTAACCACTGCTCTATAAAATTTACCTTTCAGTAACAGTGGCACTTTCTTGTCACATAGGACTCACGTCGCTAACCTCCACTTCATCCACCCCACCCCTATACGGTGTGTGACATCCTCGTCGATCTCCCCGGTCCCCTGAATAATTGACCCAAGGTACTTGAAACTACCCCTCTTAGGGATGACTTGAGAATCAAGCCTCACTTCCGCTCCCGCTTCCGTCGTCTCGGCCCCAAATTTGCACTCAAGGTATTCCGTCTTCGTCCTGCTCAACCTGAAACCTTTTGACTGAAGGGCATGTCTCCAAACCTCTAGCCTCTCGATGACACCGCGTCGTGTCTCGTCAATTAGGACTATGTCATCAGCAAATATCATGCACCATGGCACCTCTCCTTGAATATGATGCGTTATGGCATCCATCACCAAGGCAAATAGGAAAGGGTTGAACGTAGACCCTTGGTGCAACCCCGTAACAACCAAAAAATGCTCGGAGTCGCCTCTTGCTATCCTAAACCGAGTCTTAGCTCCATCATACATGTCCTTAATCACCCTAATGTAGGCAACCGGGACCCCTTTAGCCTCTAAGCATCTCCATAAGAACTTCCTAGGAACCCTGTTGTACGCTATCTCTAGATCGATAAACACTGTGTGGAGATCCTTCTTCTTATCCCTGTATTGTTCCACCATCCTCCTAATAAGATGGATTGCTTCTGTGGTAGATCGTCCCGGCATGAACCCGAACTGGTTGTCTGAAATAGACATCATCCTTCACACTCTCATTTCTACCACTCTCTCACAGACTTTCATGATATGACTTAGTAATTTGATACCCCTATATTTGTTACAGCTCTGGATATCGTCTTTGTTCTTATACAACGGAACCATTGTACTCCACCTCCACTCTTCAGGCATCCTATTAGTC